CACAGAGACCTGGGCAGGGACCCAGAGGCTCACTTCCAGCCTGGCTTTATTTCTGTGAGGTAACAGTGGAGACCTGCAAAGGACACACACCCACCTAGCCACTGTCCCTCCTCAGCAGTGTCTCTAACCATAAATCAGAGTTGACTTTCCTCTGGGAAATTCCAATATATGAAAATAAGCTATAGGATCCTAGAAAGTGAATGATATTCATAGACACCATAGTCTCTTTCTCTAACGAACTCCTACTCAGCCGCTAAGGCCCCAAACAAATAGCCCCCATGTACAGACCACACTGTTCGCAATATACTATGCACATACAAAGCTACCGTGACATTTAATACATTTAGATGTAGTTAGACATTCACTTACTTGTCTTTCTCTTAGTAAAATTGCCTTCACCAAGGACAAAGACCTTGGTCTTAATCACCAGCCTTTTATTGAATATACCATGAGCCACAGGCTGTGCTAAGGACTTTTCCTAGCTACATTCTCTCATAGCAATCCTGCAAGACAGATATTGTTGCTCATCTTACAGATAAGAAAGCTGAAATCCAGAGAGGTTAAGTCACTTGTCTAAAGTCACATGGCTGGCAAATGGTAGCATCTTTTTCCTACCCTGCATGCCCAAGTCAGCTCAGAATCCCTGATCCTGTAGCTATTCAACAAATGTTTGTTGTGTTCATTAAAAAAAAAAAAAAAAAAAAAAGGTCAGATCCGAGCATGGTAGGTGAGATGTGGGCTTTGAAGGACAGGCAGAGTTGAGTTAGGCTGAACTCCAGTACTAGTTAGAAAAGTACAATGTGTGTGTGTGTGTGTGTGTGTGTGTGTGTATGTTAGAGAGAGAGAGAGAGAGAAACAGATATGTATCCATTGCCATTGAATTGACTCTATGGCTGACAGGAGAGTTCATATGAAGGAATAGCAGAAGAGAATACTGAAAAATAAGTTGGGAAAGGTAGGTTGATGCTAGATGGATAAAGGCCTAGACTGCCCAGCTAAAGAGGCTGAACTTGTCAGAACTTCAAGGACACAGTCATCTCTGAGACTCCAGCAGGTCTTCCAGATTCCCTGACCCAGTGAGCCACCTGGCACCACCTGACTTCTAACCTCACATTCATCTTCCTGCCTAAACACCCCAGCACCAGGGTCACCTCCCTGGGGCACACTGGAGGGCTGAGGGGGTGGCCCTGGGAGGATCAGGGAGGGGGCAGTGCTGAAGGTCAGTGAGGCAGGCACGCGCCCCTAACGGAGGTACTGGAGCAGCACCGCTGGGCACAGACACAGGCAAACACGTTTGAGCAAATTGGTACGCCATAAAAGTCTATTACAGCAAATCAAACAGCAGTCAGCATGACAGCCATTAGCTTGAAATGAATACACGGGGACTTAATGAGGTCTGTCGAGGCTGGCTTGGTGAATTAAGTTGCCAATTCTAGCAGGATTTCCCTTTTCTTTACGGACTTGAAAGCATCTACGCTGCCTCGTTAGGACTTCGACAAGTGAATTGCCGGGCCTTTCACCCTGATAAAATGGATAATTACATGGAGAACAGCTTAGTGAGGGGAGTGGGGTGGGCAGGAGGGGAACCAGAACAAACAAACCCAAACACACACCTGCCTGGCTTCTCCTGAGCTGGGGGCTGGACCCGGCAGAAGCTTTCAGAGGGAGTAGGGGCCCAGGAGAGGCAGGCAGTGGGGCAATGCCTGGTCTTCAACTGCCTCCCATTCCCTGCTGTTCCTGGCCTGAGGACATGGGTCCAGGTGGGCCATGTCTCCAGGCAGCCATGGAGGGGTTGAAAGTTCACATCCAAGATGGGCTGCCCTCAGCACCTCTCACAAAACCTCTAGTGGGATCCTCCAAGGCTCCCCAGGCCTGGCTGTTCTCAACATTACCAGAGGAATTTGTTAAAAATGCAGCTTCCTGGGCTATCTCTCCCCAGCCTACTGATTCACAACTGCGGGGGTCGGGAATATGCTTCCTAACCAGTCCCCTGGGAAATTCTGCTGGGGCATGTTTGGGACCCTCTGATTCATCACTTCCCCAACACGCAGTGCTAGACGGCTGGAGGGAAGTGGTCCTCCTACTTCTGCTTGCATAACTCCAGGGATGGGGAGCTCAGCACATTCTCAGCAAGGCAGGGGCACAGACTGTGTGTGCATGGGTGTGTGTGGGCAGTCTTATTATTAGGAAGCTCTTCCTTAGATAGACCTGGATTTGCCACCTTGTAACTTTCTCCCTGTGCCAATCCCTGGGTTCTGCACACAATAGTCTCCATCATTATTAGGGCCCTAGATGGCTGAGATGGCCAAGAGGGGAACTGAATGGATGGAGGCGGCCACCAGAGCTTCTCCGCCATCCTGCAAAGAACGATAAGGTGCTGAAGGATGGGAAGGAGCTTCTCCTGCTGGGTTTTGTCCTCTCATCATGTGATGTCAGCCCTGGAAGGGGCTGGGTTCAACTTCCTAGTTTGAAAGCTGTAGGGCCTGAAGCCAGCAGACTAGAACCCAGGTGTCCTGACTCCAGTTTCTGTCTTCCCACGAAACAGCACAAGAGCAACCACTGCTTACCTCAGCCAGACTCTGCTGGAAACCCACCTCCTCCAGGAAGCCTGCTGAGATTTCTCTGATCACCCTGGCAGACCCTGGCATTCACACCTAACAGGGTCTGCAGTGCTCCCCCACCCCATTTCTCCGGCTTGCATCCTCACCCTGTTCACATTTGCAGGGTCCTTTGCTGCTGAATCACACTGTAAAGAGCAGGGGCCTGGGGTTTCCAGGGTGACCTGAATGCAAGCAGGAAACCTTGGGCTCATTTCCGGGCCAGGGACCAGTAGACTCTGGGCTGGTACTCCAGCTGCGGTCAGAGCCAGGCAGCTAGGTTCCAGCTCAGGTGACCACACCAGGCCAGGGCTGGTCAATGCCAAGATGCCTCAGATCAGGAGTGGCCAGGCTTCTGTCCAGCTGATATCACATCCCCACTGGCCACACTGAGCAGCCCCAAGCAGGGCATCGAGTATCAGGCCACTAAAGCAACCGGGGATGTTTACACATGAGCAAGTAAACCACATAGGCCTTCCTCCAAGGACGGTGTGTCCTTCGCAGCTGGCCCCTCTCAGCCTGCCCTCTCCTTGTCAGATGGGTGTCAGGCAGGCCACTGTATCCACCTGCCCTTTGTTTTCATTAGATAAGGAGGGCCGTGGCACAGAGAGGTGAAGTGACATGCCCAAACACACCCAGCAAGCTGGGAACAGAGCAGGGGCTGGACCCAGGGTCTCCTGCCTCTAGTTCTAATTCCTGTCATTCCACATTCCTGCGGCCTCCGAGGTCTCTGCACAATGACAGCCTGGCTCAGAGCCAAGCCCACAGCAGACATTCAATAAATATTTGTTAAATAAATGAATGAATGATTGAAGAGACTCTCTCCTTGGAGGCACAGGCCTTTGGAGAATCCCAGGGGATTCCAATAGGGCCGAGTGTTGGAAGTCACATCTCCTGAAGCAGGAGAGAGGAAAAGGCTGGCCCGCAGCCCAAGGGCGGGAGAGGAGGGACGTGACCCCTCGTCCCCTTGCCAGTGCGGCTCCCTGCTGCCCTATGAGAGGGAAGACAGAGGGCAGCCATGCCTGCCAGGATGGCAGCTGAGCAATGGGTCCAAGGCTCATTAACTCTGAGCCATGCCCTTGGTTTCTGAGCCCAGGCCCGGAGTGCAGGCTGGCACGTAGAGACCCTTAATTAAATTAGGGAGACTTCCAAATGAGAGAGAGCAGGAGCCAAGCTGCAGTCCCTGGGCACACTGGCCACAGCTTAGGGCACCGCGCTCCCATGTTTAGGACTGCGGGCTCCCCAGTTCTCTCCCGCCCCAGGCAGGTGAAGGGCATGGCGCCTCTGCTGCATCCCCACCTGCACATCTGTCCTCTCTTCCATCTGGTGCCAGCACAGGACCCTTGGCTCACAGCTCAGTAACAGAGGCCAGGGAGTGGGGTGTATGAGCAAGACCTTGTCACCCTTGAGGCAGGCTAAGCCTGCCCTGGAAGCCAGGAGGCTCGAAGTTAAAGCTGTGTGACCTCGGGCAAGTCACTCTCCCATGCCCAGCCTCATCCATGAACTGACCATGATATTCTCTCAAGACTTTTTACTCCCTGATCACTCATTGGATCAAGGGGTTAGAACTCAAATGACATGGTGCCAACCTATCTTTCCAGAGGGTTCTATCTCCCATTGTTCCCATCCCAACCCTTCAGTACCACCCCCAGCCCAAAACCCCAAGGGCAGGCCCAAGGGACACCCAGCGAGAAGCCCTTTACCCTCCCGCTTCAGAGTCTTTGAATCACTAACTGCCAGACCATAAGACTGCCATCAGCCACCCAGGCGAGGGGCCGCAAGCAGTGGGAACCCTGGTGCCATCAGGAGCCGGCAGCCAGCTTATTAACGAACCGTTTGTAATGCAATAATTTGTACTTCTCAATTACCAGCAATGGCTTGATTTTACACGCATGGACTCATGCAAACATACTCAGAGTACACAGTACAGGGGCCTGGGAGACTGTGGTGGAGAGCGTGGGGCTAGGGAAAGCCCCTTCCTAGAACTGTATGCTCCCTGAGTCCTGGAGGGACCTGATTCTGGCCAAAGCAGGAAGATCTGGTGTTAGGCCTGCCCACCCACCCTGCCCAAGGCCCATATTTGGATATGAGTGGAAGGAAAGAGGGTACAACACCCGCTTCTCCCAATTCTTGTTCCACCATTGACTCCACCTGGAGGTGTGGTGCTCAGCCTCCAGCATGAGGCTCCCAACCTACCGGCCCAACTGTTCTTCCCAACCCCAGGCTGGGCCCTGACCCCGGGTACCAGCATGTTCACCAACCTGCTCAGAGTTGGCACCTGGGCTGCAGTCTGGGCAGAAGAGCCAGAGCTGCTCTCCCCACCTGACTCTTCACCTACACCCTGGGTGGTCTGGGGAGCAGCAGGTCTTCGATACCCCCAAGGGCGACCCTGGTGGCTCCTACCTCAGGGATGCGGACGCTGTAGGGCTGATTGTGAAATGTGGGTGCGTTGTCATTCACATCCCCGACCTGGATGTTCACCTTCCGTGTGATCACCTGGCAAGAGAAAGGCAGGCAATTAGCACTGCCACCTGACTCTAGCCTCTTCCACCCTAGGGGCCCAGAAATCCTGTGACCCCCAGGAACATGCCTCTAGGGTCCCAGGGGACACTCACCCCCTGGTGGTCGCTGACAGAGAACTCCACGGTGAACTCTGACTTGGTCTGAAAGAAAAGTGAGAGAGGGAGGGGGGCAGTTAGTCAGCGCTGAGGTCCTGGGTCCTGGGTGCTGGGCCCTAAATGGGGCGGGAGGGGCTCCAGGATTGCCCTAGGAGCTTGCCTGGAACCAGGCATCCAAAGTCTTCCCTAAAATACTAGCATTGCCCTTTGGGTTAGGGAAGCAGTGTGGAATATGGATCCTTGCTTTAAGAGAGCAATAAAAGACAGAAGTCAAGCATCCTGGGTGCTAGTCGTGGCTCTGCCTCTAAGATGCTGTGTGACACTGAGCAAGTCATTACACACCTCTATGGTTCCTTCCTCAAACACAAGAAGAGGGTAAGGGTTGGGGATGTGTTCACACCTTTACCTTAACTTGCTAAGGGCTACCAAGTCGTCAATTCCTGCTTCTCTGGATATTGGGGGAATATTTACTCGGGGTAGGGTAGACTTGTACCCTCCATGGAGCCCCATTCTACAAGGGATGAACCCAGGGTCACTGTTCTTCTTGCCTCTCCAATGTAGCTGCTTGCTTGGAGACAGCTCTAACTACCCATGCCAACCCTAAGTCCAGACACCAGCATTGGCCCTTGAAGAGGAATACCATTCAGGCAGAAAGATGCCACTTCGGCGTCAGAATGGAGTCTTAGAGGAAGACCCCAAAAGATGGTGGGCCATCCTTCCCCCAGAGTCTCCTCCCGTCCCCAGGAGAGAACTGGGGCAGGGGTATGGGCAAGTCATACCTCTCTGTCCAGTGGCTGCCGGAGCCACACCACGCCGGTGTCAGGCTCCACTGCAAAGAAGCGAGAGGCCTCCTCCCCAGACACGCCAAACACCAGGGGGTCATTGTCCATGTCTCGGGCCAGCAACTGGGTCACAGAAGAACCTGGAATAGCCAAAAGAGAGAGCAGAGGGGAAATATGGGAGGTCAGGTTTATGCCTTCCTACCTTGCCCAGGTGGCTGAACTCTCAGCAGGGAGTGGCCGCTCAGCAACCCTCCAGCAGGCCACGGATCATCATAAGGCCCTAGCGCATCTGTGGGCTCTGACCCAGGTACCCCACCTCTGCCCTGGTCCACTTTTCACAGTGCGTCATGATGGTATCAGGGGACCATCACTCACCATGCTCTGGGTGTGTAAAACACAGTTGTGACTTCTGCCTGCCCCACTTTCTCTGATTTTAATTTGAAGACCTCCTTCTCCAAGTGGCTCAGATGAGGACAGGCCCCCAATATTTCAAGTCCTATGTTCCAAGATGAGCACATAAATCAGTGCTAGCCAATCAGAGCGTGCCATTTCCCTGGTCATGATGATTGGTTCAGGGATGAGCATGTGACCCAAACTAGCCAATCAAAGCCAGCCCTGGGATTTTTGCTGGAACTACTGGGAGAGAGGAGCTCTCTTCCAATGCTCATTGGCATTGTGGGCAGCCATCTTTGGCACCACACAAGAAGAGCCTGAGAATGAAACACACAAGGAGGAAAACAGAGGCAGATGATGTATGGAGAGACAGATTCCTGATGGCTTTCTGAGGGTCTGCCACCAGCTGTGCCTGATATTAGCTCCACCCTCTGGACTTTTCAGCTCTATGAGCTAATAATCACGTTGCAACCTTTTCTTTGAGCTCAGTCAGTTTAGCTGGACTTCTGTCTTTTGCAAATGGAAGTTCCTTTCCTAATTCAGAATTCTTTGCAAAATCTTTTGGCATTTATTCAAGAGTGACCAGGTGCTGGCCTGATGATGAGCACTGGAGTATGCAGAGGTTAAGAAGATGTAGCTCAGCCTCAAGGAACTCCAGTCTAGAACTAGGTGACAAGGTCTAGTTCCCATCCTCAAGAAGGGGATTGAGAGGCAGGTGTCATCCCTTACCAGAAGCAAAGCCCTGGCCTGAGGGCGCCTAGGCTTCAGGATGCCTGGCCTATACCCTCCCTAAGAAGAAAAGGGCATCTTCTCCTGGGGCTCACAGCTCCCCTGTGTAACTTTCAGGTAGGGTCACCAACTGCCCTGCTTTGCCCAGGACTGAAGCATTTCCCAGCACATCTGCTAAAACCAGGAAGCCCCAGGCAAACTGGGATGGTTGGTCTCCTTAGCTTCAGGAGGTCCTTAAACTCACTAGATGGTACACAAAATGTTATGAGTGTACAGTGCGTCATTTTCTGAAGACAGTGTCTATAGTCTTCATCTGATTCTCAAAGGGGTGAGCAGATCGGAGCCATGACCTTAGGCAAATCACTTATTTCCAGGTTTCAGTTTCCCCTATAAAACAAGACAGACACCACCTGCCCCAAATACTGACTCTCACATTTACCAGATAGCTCTGAAAATCAAGCTAGACAGAAAGGATTCCAAATTCTTGGAATTTTATCTAGAAAAGAACTTCTAGAACAGTTCTAACATGATGACGCTAGCTAACATTTTTGAGCCCAAATCATAAGCCAGGCCTAAGCTGAGCTATTTCCACGCACTAATTCAGTCCATAATGCGATTCTCCCCATTTAACAGGTTAGGCAACAAAAAGTGATGAGGTGATTACCATGGCCTCACGGTCAGCAAATAGCAGAGCTGGAATCCACATCCCAGGCAGTTGGGGCTCAGAGTCTACATTTGTTTCCACAGCACAAACATCTCAACACTCAATATGTAAACTCAAGATTCAGGACTTCATGGACATGATCTATGAGATCCTAACAGGTAGCCCAAGATTTGGAAAATGAAGACATTGGGCATTCCCTGGGCTCTTACGATATGCCAGACACAAGGTCCATTCATGTGGATTCTCTCATTAAATCCTCCCAGCAAGTCTGTTTGGTAATTGTTATTCTACCCATTTTGCAGATTAGGAAGCTGAGGCTCAGAGAGGCGAAGCAGCTTCTCCAAGGTCAGGCAGCAGAACAGCATAGCAGGAAATGGCAGCATCCAAGGTGATGGGAGAAGGTGAGATGGAGGAGTAAAATCGTGGAACATCTTCAGAGCCCAACCCTCCCATTTCAGAGTTGGAAAAGCTGAAGGCATTTAACAAGTTGTCCAAAGTACAATGGTAAGCCACAAAGGCAGGATTCAAACCCAGGTTTCCAAACTCCCAGATTCCCAGTTCATTGCTCTTTCTAGATAGTGTAAGAGGAAGTATGTGAAAGCCACAGATAAACCAAGCACATCTTTCCAAAACATTTGCATTGCCCGATGACAAATAAGTGTTTTATACTAAAACAAATGGGAAGACACTGGGGGCAGCATTTGATTGATTAATTAATTAATTTTTTTTGGAGACAAAGTCTCGCTCTGTTACCCGGGCTGGAGTGCAAGTGGCACGATCTCGGCTCACTGCAACCTCCACCTCCCGGGTCCAAGTGATTCTTCTGCCTCAGCCTCCCCAGTAGCTGGGATTACAGGCATCTGCCACCATGCCCAGCTAATTTTTTGTAGTTTTAGTAGACATGGTGTTGCACCACGTTGGCCAGCCTGATATTGAACTCCTGACCTCAAGTGATCTGCCCACCTTGGCCTATCAAAGTGCTGGGATTATATGTGCGAGTCACCATGCTCGGCCTAATTTATTTATGTTTAATTTATTTGTAAAGATATAACCTAAAGCCGTAAATGAGTTTCCAGCCTCCCCTGACTTCTAGGAGCATACACTTCCTTTCCATTGCTCTCAGATATTCTCTAGTGGCAAAGTTTGAGAAATACTGAGTTACTTCCCAAAGGCTTGGGCAGATTCTAGATGGGGAAACTGAGGCCCATAAGCGCCTTACTTGTCCAGGTGCAACAATGAGTCCACGGCAGCCTGCAGTCCACTGGACCGCAGTCCTCACCTGCTGTACCTCAGGGCCCAGCCCAGATGGGGGATCTGGGGCCAAGCTCCCAGCTGGCCAAGGGGATTCTGGGAAGACCATCCTGGCCTTCCAGCCAAGGTTGCATGACTGGGTTCAATATCCCAAATGGCTCTCTCAGGTCTGATGCTCAGGTCCTCCCAAGAAGTGGGGCGCTGGGCAGAACAGGGATGGGGCCATCAGCTGCTGTCACCCACCCTGTAATTTCCTGGACTTTTATCCATTTTCCCCTCAATTATGTGCTGCTCAAAATGGTCCTTTTCAGCTTCCTCACGGGCTCTTGCCTGCTCATGCCTTCTTTGTGTCCCAGGTAATTGCTAGTGACCTTTTCTAAGTGTACTAATTAAAGGTGCCGATTTAATATTATATTTAAGACAAGAAGTCCCGCAATTTTCCAGCTGGGCACATACTCCCCCGCCCAGTGCTGCTCTGCCTCTCTACAGAAGCTGGGCCCAGCCCTGGCTTCTCCAGGAAGCAGGGCTTGTTTCTCCACTAGGGGAGGTTTCCAGCAACCTCTGGCTGTGCTATTCCTACAAGAGTGAGGCCAATCTCTGGGGTTCAGCTCCAGCCCAGTGCTCTTAGTTATAGCCATGCAGGAGAATCATCTCTGGCTGGGGGACCCTGGGGTACACATGCCACACAGGTTTGCTTCCCACCTGAGAAACAGAATATACCTTGCATCTCAGGGCTGGAGAATACCTGGAGTTCCTTTTGTACAAATTTGTGGTAAAACACACAACACATGAAATTTACCACTTCAACCATTTAAAGTACACAATTCAGTGGCATTTGGTACATTCATGATGCTGTGCAACCATCACCACTAATTCCACAAGATTTTCATCATCTCCAAAGGAAACCTCATGCCCACGAACCAGTCACTCCCCATGACTCCCTTCCCCAACCCCTGGCAACCACAAATCCACTTTCTGTTTCTATGGATTCGACTATCCTAGAGATTTTATATGAATGAAATAACACAATATCTGGCCTTTTGTGTCTGATCTCTTTCACTTAGCCAAATGTTTTCATGGTTCATCCATGCTGCAGCATGTATCAGTACTTCACTCCTTTTTAACAGCTGAATAATATTCCGTTGTGTGAATGTAACACATTTTGTTCATTCATTGATCAGTTCACAGCTATTTGTGTTGTTCCCACCTGTTGGCTATTGGGAATAATGCCACTATGAACATTTATATACAAGTTTTTGTTCGAACATCTGTTTTTAATTATTTTGGATGTATACTTAGGAGCACAATTGCTGGAACATATAGTAATTCTATGTTTAAATTAATGAGGAACTGCCAAAGTGTTCTCCATGGTGGCTGTATTATTTTACGTTCTCATCAGCAATGGATGAGACCTGGTGTTTTTTCAGTGGTAAGGAGGATACCCTGCTATTCACAGGGGCTGGAACGCCCTCTTATGATAGAGAGATGGGAGCTGGCTGGGTCTCCGCAACAGATGCTATTGGTACCCTGCCCTCTATCCCTCAGCACACACATTTCCACACACACCAGCCTGACTGCTAACTGCCAGCACCTGTGAGTGTTCACCCAAGGGGTTCTGGCCATCAGAGACTGCTCCTCCTAAATACAGCACGGCCGGGAAGTGCCGGGAATGGATGCCCCCGTAGCAGAGCTCACCGAGTGATTGTGGAAGATGATAGATAAGGATGACCTTGTCTACCATGATTAGAGCTCAAAAATGTTAGCTATCATCGTCATGTTAGAACCCTCCTAAAAGTTCACTTACAAAAGCTGCTTAGTCTTCTTTTCTAGATAAAATTCCAAGAATTTGGAATTCTTCCTTTCTGGTGGGGTTTTCAGAGCTCTGTGGATAAGGTAGGTAAACAGCCCAGCTCCAGCACCTCTCAAGGGCATAACTCAGCGGTCCGTGTTCTACACTGGCAACTTGGTTGACAATAACACATCTTTAGGGCTTCCTTCCCTTCCTGTCTCACTTCCTCACTCCCTACTTGTGTTTCCTGGAACCTCCTCCCCAGTAAGCTTCTTGCATTTAAGTCCTCATTACAAGGTCTATTTCTGGGGAAG